TTCTTCTCCCCCACAAGCATAGGAGGAATGTAATGCTGAACATCTGTCCAGTTGATAGTGTTGATGTCGGCCCTATACTTCTCAATCTTAGCCTTATTAGACCTGGTCCAATCATCGACTATCACGCCTAGTTTATGAGATTCGCGATAATCCCAGGCCATACAGAAGTTTTTCGGTGCATCTACAAACAAGTAATTCAGTTTCCAAGCTGGGGCACCATCAAAGAGCTCCACTATTTGTGCCACCTTCGATTTTGGATTTTTTTTCACATTATACCAGTCCTTGAATTTGGTCGAGGGGACACAGACCTTGAAAAAATACCTCCATATGAGTAGTCGAGGTTTTACTTTCACCAGCTCACAGAGCCTCGCGAATCCGAGAATTGCCGTTATTAAATTTCGGGTGAATCGAGCAAGTGGAATCTTATAGCGCTGAACTATTGCTACAAACAGGGAAAAAGGGGGGAATCTAAGCCCTAGCAACATAAAACGATCGTATAAAACGATTTTTCCCTCTGGTGGAGTATTAGCCCTTTCATTTCCTATGGGGGCTCGATATTCTAGATCTATCGGAAAGTTATATTTTTCAGTCACTGTCTTAGCTTTTGGGGCAGAATCTATAGTTGATGCAAAATTGGAAACAGTTTTTGCAGTCATATCTACCACAATATATGCTAAGGCAATAAGATTCAGGAAAAATAAAAACAACAGCATACACTAATAACAAGAGGGTTGAAGGACTCACTTTTATTAGAATTTGAGGTTGACCTTTTGGATGATATTCGCCTAGGATGATGGGTCTTCTCAGTTATAGCAGGTGCTGCAATTTCTGACGGGAGAACAAGCAATTAAGTAGCAACAGATGATGCGTAGGGGCAGGAGAGGTGCTTCTCTGTTTTCAGATTCAGAGTTTTGAAAAAAAGAGAAGAAAGAAAAGCCCTTGGTTTCCTTCTTGATATAAGTGAATTTCTCTCTCACGTCTCGACAGTTTGGGCGGGATTCAGGGGCATTAATGATGACACGGCCGTCATTTGGAAAACATGCACATTATCGGGGCACGATTTCGGTTTAGGCGGGATTTCTGAATCGGGTCGCCTTCTCGGTTCGGACCTTGACCCGCGAATAATTCATTTGATCCATTTTGTACCCATTGGGTTGAGACTTGTCCAATCAGTCTTGCTTTATACAACTTGAGCCGAGTCCAGGTATTATTTATTTTGTGTCAAGTCTTGTTTATTTCATACAATTAACACTTGACATGGGCACTTGATGAGTCCATATCCACCAAGGATTACCGGACCGGCCCATTCACCAATTAGGGCTTAACCGACCTTGTAGAGGCGGTTCGAGAATATGCATCCTAATGGGATTCGGCTTACCTGGAGGTAATTCCATGCCTATAAATAGGATTGGTCTCACCACAATTGAGGTATGCTATCTCTATCACCAATTCGTATATACATACTTTCATAACTCTATTTTCTAACTTAAGCATCGGAGTGTCTATCCTCGGGAGACTCCGAGGCTCTGTTTTATAGGAAACTCTAATCAGAGTTTCACGGTAAAATCAGGAGTGCAATTCCAGGCTTTGTCAGTTATCAAAATGAAATAACCTTGCAATCGAATGAACTACTACTCTACTTTTCTGATAACAAAGAGGACTACACATTACAGAAATAATTGTAGAGATTCTCGAACCGACAACCAATGACAAAAGATATTCTGTGACACTTTTGTGTCACCCTTCCTGTGACATTAACTAAAATCTTGACACGTGTTTTATCGAACCGGATTTTGGATGTTAGTAATTAATTATTATTTTAACACATGACAATCATTTAACCAATGTCACATGGAGTATAACACAAAATGTCACAGAATATTCTATGCCAAAACGAAGTCCCCCATATGCATAGTTAATTAAATCCTATACAAAATATAGGATCACTGATTTAGTTTAGTAATGATGACAAAGTTGATCGATGCTATATTTGTTAATTATATGAGCAAGTCGATGGCCAGAAGATGTTAGTAGTGATCAATCTAAAGTAGTCAAGGAGATGGTTAACGTTTGATTCCAACTTTCTATTTGGTAACGAAATTTGCTGATCAATGTTCACTCCCTGATGCTATTCTGCCACTTCAAAGAAACATACAGTAAACGTCTTCACGCGTAAAAGACTTTGCAAAATATCTCTTCCACGATCAAATCAGAGTCCCCAATCTTGTTCTTGACTTCCACAAAGACTTTGAAAATCAATCCCCCAAGGACCCACCTACTTCACTATACTTAATTTGGAGTACAAACGTGCAATGGTGTATAAATTGGCGAACTACGTTCCTTCAGGTTTTGTATGTTTTCCAGTAAACCAACAAAAACAATGGAAAGCCTTTCTAATAATCATCGATTGGTTCTGCTCATGTTTCATGTTCATTTACTTTGCCTAACATTTCAGTTTGAATACATTGAAAGTACTACTTCCGACCATTCAATTCATGCAAGCTGCATCGACAAAGAACGACAAGCTCTCTTGGAAATAAAAGCCAGCCTTATTGATAAAACGAATCGTCTATCGTCATGGAAAGGGCGGGACTGTTGTTCTTGGAGTGGAATCACCTGCAACAACCTCACCGGCGCCGTTCAAAGGCTCAATCTTAGCGGCCCTTTCGATATCGACTTCTTAGAGGACTTTAGCTGTAATGACAGCTGCTTTGGAGGCAAAATACATCCATCAATACTGAATTTGGAGCACTTGGAGTATTTGGATCTCCGTTACAATGACTTTTCAGGTATTCCGATTCCATCATTTCTTGGATCCTTGCAAAACTTGCAATATCTCAACCTCTTTGATGCAAACTTTTCTGGGGAGGTTCCTCCACATCTTGGAAACCTGTCCAACTTACAACATCTGTATCTTGGTGGGGATCATTTAAATATCAAGAGTTTAAGGTGGATCTCCGGACTTGTTTATTTAAGAACTCTGCTCTTCTACGACACCAACATGAGTGAATCTCTTGATTGGTTGTCTTCGATTAGCACGCTGTCTTCCTTGTCATCATTAAAGCTGAGAAGTTGTGGATTATTCGGTACACTTTCTCCTTCTGTTTCCCATGTTAATCTAACATCTCTTGTTTCACTTGACCTTAGTGATAACAGCCTCATCTCTTCCTTACCTCCCTGGTTGTTCAATCTTGGCAGCCTTGAGGTTCTTGATCTTCGATTTAATAATTTAGGAGGCCGCATCCCTGACATGTTTGGAAAACTGACCACTCTTACTGAGCTTTACCTGATGTACAATTCCTTTAGTTCTTCACTGCCAGATTCATTGTGTAACCTTACTAGTCTCATTTCCATGGATCTCAGTTCTAACCAACTTGAAGGATCACTTCCTTTGTGCCTCCGGAACTTGAGTTCTCTGAACGAACTTTCTCTGAGAGGCAACAAACTTGTTGGAGAATTACCAGTGGAGATTGGTAGTCTCAAACACCTAATTGATCTCGATCTTTCTGATAATTATTTCAAATCTACTATTCCTTCGAGTTTCGGTCAGCTTTTGATGATGCAAAGTCTCTATCTTCAGAATATTCAGTTGTATGGTTCGATTCCATTAAGTTTTGGGAATCTTACCAAATTGGAAAGTTTAGATCTTTCTTCCAATTCGCTGACCGGCGAGATGTCTGAATCTCATTTCACGAAACTCAAAAGTTTGCAATACTTGTCCATTTCCGAAAACCATTTTCTTGTTTTCAATGTGAGTTCCCAATGGATCCCTCCATTTCAGCTCCATGATCTTGAGATGGAGTCTGTTGTCATAGGGATCCAATTTCCTGATTGGCTCCAAACTCAAAGGGACATTGGTAAAATAATCCTCAAAAATTCCAGCATCTATGGCACTATCCCTGATTGGTTTGGGACTACTTTCGCTTATCTCAAATCGTTAGATCTTTCCAACAACTTCTTGACGGGGTCTATTCCTTCTTTTGATGTGAATAACACTGCATACTGGTCTTTTCATGTTATTAATCTCGCAAGAAATCGTTTAACTGGCAACGTTCCAGATTCGCTATGCAACATGCAGTCTCTTCAAGTCATATCCCTTGCTAATAACCAGCTGACCGGAACGATTCCTCCATGCCTTGGAAACTTAAAGGAGCTGTATGTGTTGGATCTGGCGAATAATAGCCTTTCCGGTAGTATTCCCGGCGAACTTGGAAACTTGGAGAATCTCCTCTTCCTTCATTTGAATGGGAACAAGTTCTTCGGCGCGCTTCCCGTGTTATTGCAAAGTTTGACATCTTTAATCACTCTTGATCTCGGAAATAATCAGTTGAGGGATTTGATACCGGAATGGATTGGAAGTGAATTCTCTGGTTTGCAATATCTTAGGCTTCAATCAAACAATTTTTATGGTAACATTTCTGGAAAACTCTGCCAACTGCCTTCCCTTCAAGTTCTAAATCTTGCAGACAACAATTTGGTTGGCAGCATCCCTCCTTGTCTTGGCAACTTGAGTATGATGCTCTCGGATAAGCCCGGTAGAACTGTTCCTTTCGATTTGTACACCGAATCACTCCGGAACATCATGAAAGGATCAGAGTTGGAGTATTCCTCAAATCTTGAGTTTGTAAAGTCCATATCGCTTTCGGGAAACAACATATTAGACGGTGAGATCCCTAATGAGTTAATGGATCTCAAATACCTGCAAAATCTAAACCTGTCAAGCAATAACTTAAATGGAAACATCCCAGAGAGGATTGACAATTTAAAACATCTGGAATCCCTGGATTTGTCAATGAACAAACTTTCTGGAACAATCCCTCAAAGTTTAGCCAATATAGATGCCCTGAGCTACCTAAACTTGTCATTCAACAATTTTTCGGGGCGTGTACCATCAGGGAATCATTTCGATACCTTGAATGATCCGTCAATTTATGAAGGAAACAGCGGACTCTGCGGCAAGCTTTTGGCGAAGATCTGTCCTGGTGATTCGCCATCAACAGGAAATGCAGCTTCTAATCAGGCGATTGATGATGATAATGATAAGTTCGAGTTCTTATGGTTTTACTCCGGTATCGGACCTGGTTTTGCAGTGGGTCTGTTGGGATTTTTCTTGGTTCTTTATATTAACAAGTCATGGAGACACGCTTACTTCAGGTCTGTGGAATATGTTTGTAACAGAGTCAGGGTAGCTTTTGCTGTCAAGATGTCTCAGTTCCAGAGAACATTCAAATAAGTACCAATTGTGCAAATTTCTTTTATCAATGAATGGAACCAAATTATGCATTTTTCTCCCGTCTCTAGCAAGAAACATTAAAGATAGTGATAAATATTCTTGGATTGTCAAGTCAATATATCTGGACATGTATTTCATAATGAAAACGAAAGTACCAAATTTCGCAACATGCTGCTATATTTTGTTTTACATAATTTCATGAGAGTTTAAATTGACCTGAACTCTTGTTTCACTGTTTCCGTTCCTAACAGCAAAAAGATCCAAAATCAAGCATTATGAGATTTCCAAATCTCCAACAATTTGTTAAACCAGTGAATAATTGGAAATCACAATCTGCTCCACGAATTTCGACTTAGGTTAGTATCATAGCGTGATAGTTCCCCTGAATTGTGGGATGTCGTGTATCTAGTTCCAGAAAAGTCTTTAATATACACAGTAGTACCATTTCCATTCACAATGATTGGTACTTAATTAGTTCATCCCACAAAGTGTCGCATTGACTGTTTTGATTCAATGTAATGCGCGATATTTAACAAAACTAGAGGCTTGAAATGAGAGACATTGGCAATCTATAGTATCGAATGGAGGGATCCAAAATCATCATAAAGTTCTATGCATCTCATCAAATATGTATGGGCATTCAATTGGACCGTCTAATCACCGAAAACCATTTCTTGCAAACAAGAAGGAATGTGGTTTTCTATCAGAGAATCAATCAATCATGGAGTACATATTGTTGGAGAGTTTGGATCACACACTGGTCATCAGCATTATAACGGCCGGAACATTCTTCAAAGAAACAGGTAAAACCCCTTGAGAATTTGCTAATATGTACTGCCCAACTAATAGGGAAGCACTTGCTCTTAAAATACGACTTTAATCACGGTGAAACTACTTTCCTCTCCAGGGACGTTGTCAATTTTGTGAGACAGGTCGAGGAAGAACATCGAAATTGTGGAAATTCATATCTGAAGACCATTGTGAATCACTGGACATGGCTGCAGGCTTGATCACATTTCATGTAAAAAGGTTACTTGATTTGTACCGGTTTTCTCAATTAATTGATATTGATATGCTAATTCATGGTAACCAAGGGTTCAATAAACAAGGTCGGATTATGAGACGGGGAAATATAAGAATTTAGATTCCGAAATTATATAGCAAGTTACAGATAATTTCTCAAATGGATGGCCAGAATTTGGACTTGATGAAGTGATAGTATGACATATTGGATAACGGGACCGGCCCTTTTACGGCAGATAATTACCCCTTTTACAGCTTTGTTTATTTCTATGTTTTCAAAACCGGACCAGTCTGGGCGGTCGAACCGGTTAGTCCGGGAACCAAAAGCCTCACCGGTCCAATTTCTATACAAAACCGGATACTGTAAAACCTAGTCAAACTCGGTTAAATCCGGACAAGATTGCGGTTCGACCAAAAACCAGTACCAGTTAAATCGGTTTTTCATATATATATATAATTGAAAATTAATTTTTAAATATTTTTTTAATATTACTTTAACCTATTTTCACCGGTTTTCGAGGAACGAGCTAACCAGTTAACCTGGTGAACCCAACCCAGTCACGCTAACGGTTCACCTTCCGGTCCAGTTTTAAAACATACAGTTGCTCCTTCCTAATGCGATTAATTTGTTATCTATTTTATAGAAACAATGTGAGAAAAATGCACTTTAAAGGTGTTGAAAAGGAGAAGCTGCACACTTGAAGAAAATTTGGACAAACTGCAAGGCAGAGTGAGAAGGACCACTCCACTGAGTCAATCAGAGGAAAACTAACTGAGATTGGTTGTTTCGGAACTGAGACACTCTACAGAATGACGGGGACACTCGGCGGACCGAGATGCTGCTAAAAGTGGATTCTCTAGACCACTCTACCGAGTCAAGCGAAGGGCACTATACGGAGTGACGCAGTCTTACATTTTAGTAGTTTTTACTGGGACCTAAAGTCGCGGTCTTGAGCAATAAAACACAACGTACGTCCAAAAAACAGATGCCACATATCATAGGCGACTGCTAGGCTGAAAATACATAGGACGAAAAAAGGAAACAAGTTGGAGATTACTCAACAACAAGATTGTATTCCATAATCAAGTCTACATCGATTTCTCCTAAAAGAGTTTTCTTTTCCTTCAACTTGTGTTCATGGATTCAATTGTTTTCTTCTGTACTTTTATGTTTAATTTCAATATGAGTAGCTAAGCACCCTTTGGGGGTTCGGTCACAGAAGTTCATGGATTTTACTGATTGATCGTTGAACTTTATGGTAAATTTAAGTTACCAATTCAAGTGATTAATTGTTCCTAGCTTTTATCTTGATCAAATAGTTGCTAGTGCTCATGAACTTTTGCATATCTAGGAATAGAATGCTTGGTTTAGATAAGGTTGAATTGGGCAATGACTTAAGCGTTAAAGTTTAATGTTTCTTACCGGATAGGAATATATCGACAATGTATGGTTGGTCTTATGAGTTACATAGTGTTAATGACTCTATAGTTTGGCATAACCATGTGAATATAAGTTATGTTAGATTGTAGATATACCCTCTCAACTTTGGAAGAAGTTTGAGGATGTCATTGGAGAACCGGTCATTATTTAGTCACCAACGTAAGTTTAATGGTTAGTTGATGAATGAAGTCGAAATTGTGATCGAATACCTCCTTGCTTAAGATATTGAGTTCGACCTATAATACATTTTTTTATCATTCCGATAGCTATTAAATTTCCTAAAGTCACTACAAATCATTCTCTTTTATTTGGTCACTTACACTAAGCGAGAACCAAAGTCAACATACTCGTTAGTCTATAAAGTTCTCGTGAAATCGACACTTTTTACTACTACTACAGTTACAACTCGTAACCTTGTGAGTATGAGGGTCTATTTTGCACTCATCACAATGGAAGTTTAAGTTGCTAAAATTGTGTTATCAAAACAAGGGTGTATTGATGTGATTTATATAAATTTACTTTTTTTTTTAACCAAAAGAATATAATAGAAATTACTACTTTTGCTCTGAATCATTTGTTGAGAACTTAGGAATTTTATTTTATTTTATTTGTTGTATTCTTTATTTCAAGAATTTCCAGTGACATGCTTATTTCGCCTTTCTGCATAAGAGAGTCTAGGTAGCTTTTGTTACCAAGAGTCTGGGTAGCATTTTTCCGTCCCAATTTAAATGTAATGTTTGTAAAATTCTTTCAAACATATAAATGACCTTTATCAATAAAGTACATATATTACCAAGACCAAAATACACGGATCTCAATCGTGGTCGGCCTAAGTTTGAGAGACGGTCCAACCGACTATTTGGAAGTTTCTAGGTCGATTTCTAATTACTTTCCTATCAGAAAAGGATTTCATAACCTAAGTCTATAAATAGAGATTAACCCCTCATATTAAAGCTACGCTTCATGCACCCCAGTTTATACCCTTATTACGAATACTCTTACTGACTTAAGTATCGGAGAGTCTACCATCGGAGACCCCGATAACCTTTTTTGCAGGTTCTAGGGTTTTGATGAGGCCATGATCGTCGATTCAATCAATTGGAAGCGTCGGAAAAATTTTCGCATTTGTCATATATTCCATTTACCAATATAGGAACCTAATATTTCTTAAGATTTGATTGTGTTCAGTGTCACATTTTGCTCTTATTGACTTAAGTATTGGAGAGTCTATCCACGGGAGACCCCGATAACTTTTTTTGTAGGTTCTAGAGTTTTGATGAGGCCATGATTGCCTGTTCAATCAACTGGAGGCGTCGGTAAAGTTTTCGCATTCGTCATATATTCTATTTACCAATATAAGTACCTAATATTTCTTAAGATTTGATTGTGTTTAGTGTCACATTTTGCTCGAGCAATATCCAAATGACTGATTTACAGATAGTTCATTCATGTGAATAACTACTTCTACTTCTCGTTCCCCAAACTAAATCATATACAAAATGAGTTTCTTTATGCACTATTACATTTTAACTTGCTAGGGAAAAAAAAAATTACACTAACCACATTTAGATCGATCGATCCCATGATCACATAAATGCGTTCTGCGCACTGAAATGAGAATAGAGGAATGGTAATCTTCAATTCATTAAAGAAATCTTCAATTCCCTTTCCAATGTTTAGAAATGTTAGAGAATCGTAATCATTTTCCCATTGCGGTGTTCTTTTTTCCTCAATATATGATGAGAATGGAAAAAGTAATATTTTTTTAATAAATTTAAAATTTTCATAAGAACTACATTAAAAACCAAAACAGACAACAATTATTTGATGAATCACTTCATAAGAACAAATATAACTAGAAATATTATAATTTTAAAATAACGTATCTATAAATTTTGGTTCTAATTAGGATTCTTTGGAAGATGTTAAAAAAAATCTATTGGGATTCCGATATATAAGAACATATTGGGGGGATTAAGATGGGGATGGTTATTATTAGGAGGTCGATGGTTCGATTCTCGCTGGGGCTATCCAATTTTTTTTTTTTTTTTAAAGGAGAACATATTGAAAATTATGGAGGCAAAAAAAAGAAGAAAAAGGGAGAATAGGGCACGAATATTTTGCTAATGATAATATTTTTAACTATTTATTTATTTATTTAATAATAAGATAAACTTAGTAAAAATTAAATGTATAAGATTACTTCACTCACATCATCATATAACATATGGTATCTGATTACTTGTCATTTATTATTTTACTAAATATTGTAATGATTGGAATCATAATAACATCTCGATACATCCATTCCCATTCCAGTGTGCAGAACACACCCGATGAACACATCCTAAACAAAAGAAAAAAAAAAAGAGATTAAAATTTATGTCTTCCCTACTTAATGACGTACACTTATACACCTTTTGGTCCCAAAAAAATAGTGCACATCGAGTTTTTAAAAATTTGTATTAAAAGTACTATACAACTTTAACTTAATGTGAATTATTTTTTTTTGGGATAGAGGTTATACAAAATTTATGTCATTATAAATGATTTTTTTTTTCTTTTTGTGACAGATAAAAACAATCAAAAGGAACCACGAAGAAAGTTTGCGATTTGTCAACTTGGATGGTTTTAATTAATTGGTGGGGTTCGACCGTTCGACTTTATTTAGTGTCCAAGAACAAATCACAATTTCGCATCCGATATACTTTTTCTACTGCTTCCGTCTTAAAAAAAATAGTCCACATTTAATTTTTAAATTTATACTAAAAATAATACAAATCTCAAAACTTAATATGCATTATTTTTGTGAGACGGAGGGATTATTTTATTAGTAGGGCGATTCTCACCAAATTGATAAATTTTTAAGATGTTAAAGACTTGTGAGTCGTCCACCAAAAGACTTGGAAAATGAATCCAGCAAATATTCCACCATTAACGTTCTTTGACTTCCACAGCGACATGGACAAAGCAGCACCTAATCATCCTCAATTGTTGATTTATTATTATTATTATTATTATTATTATTATTATTATTATTATTATTATTATTTTAAGATTATGCTGTTTCGTTCTTCTTAATTTATTAGATTGTGTTACTTCAGCTGCAGTGAATGATTAGAATATTGAAACTAATTTGGTTGTTTGGGTTGAGTTCATGGAAAAATTTATACTATATGAAGAACACTTTATACTTTTTTTTTAATATAGATTTATGGAAAAATTTAAATTCGCCCCTAAAAAATTTCTGTTCTTGTCTTCCACAAAGACTTTGAAAATTCAATCTTCAAAAGGACCAGTTCAGTTGTAAAAAAGGCACATTCGCGTATGTATAAATTGGCAAACAATTGCCGCTTTAATTTTGCAAATCTTTCAGATTGTATGTTCTCTCCAGTTAACCAAAAAAAAAAAAAACAACAACAACAACAATAATGAAAACACTTGCCAAGGGTGTGACCATGCTGATGTTTCTTGTTCACTTTGTTTGCCCAACATTTCAATTTGTTGCCTTCACAGAAAGTACATCTAACAATTCAATCAACGCGAGCTGCATTGACAGAGAATGGAAAGCACTCATGGATATCAAAGGCAGCCTGATTGATGCAACAAACCGTTTGGCGTCATGGACGGGGCGCGACTGTTGTTCTTGGAATGGTGTCACCTGCAACAACCTCACCGGCTCCGTTCAAATGCTCAATCTTGGTAACCCTTTCATTGCCGACCTCTTTACCTGTAATGAGCGCGGCTTGGGAGGCCAAATACATCCATCCATACTAAATTTGGAGCACTTGGAGCATTTGGATCTCAGCTGCAATGACTTTTCAGGTATCTCAATTCCATCATTTCTTGGATCCTTGACAAATTTGCAATATCTCAACCTCTTTGGTGCAAACTTTGGTGGGGAGGTTCCTCCACATCTTGGAAATCTCTCCAACTTGCAACAATTGTATCTTGGTGAATCAATTTATCTTGTTGCTCCCCATTCTCTTCTAACCATCAAAAGTCTCAAGTGGTTCAGGACTTGCTTCTTTAAAAACTCTATACTTCTCGAACACCAACTTGAGCGAGTCTATTGATTGGTTGTACTCGATTAACACTCTTCCTTCCTTGTCATCATTGACACTGAGACGTTGCGGATTAATTGATACAGTTTCTCCTCCTGGTTCCAGCATTAATCTAACATCTCTGGTTTCACTTGACCTCAGTGAAAACAACCTGAACTCTGCCTTACCACTCTGGTTGTTTAATCTTAGCAGCCTTGCGGATCTTGATCTTAGATTTAATAATTTACAAGGCACAATCCAAGATATATTTGGAAAATTGACCACTCTTACTAGCCTTAAACTTTCTTACAATTCATTCGGTTCTTCGCTTCCAGGCTCCTTTTGTAACCTTACTAGTCTCATTTCCATGGATCTCAGTTATAATCAGCTTGAAGGATCAGTTCCTGTGTGCCTTGGGAACCTGAGTTCTCTGACAGAACTTTATCTGGGAAGCAACAAACTTGGTGGAGAATTGCCAAGTGAGCTTGGTAATCTCAAACAGCTAACTGTACTCGATCTTTCTAATAATTCTTTCAGGTGTCCAATTCCCTCAAGTTTTGGAATGCTTTCGATGGTGGAAAGTCTCATCCTAAATCACAACCAGTTGTTTGGTGCAATTCCTCAAACTTTATCAAATCTTACGGAACTTGTATACTTTGATGTTTCTTACAATTCATTGTCCGGCGTGCTATCCGAATATGATCTTGCGAAACTCAAAAGTTTGGCATTTTTGCTCATCTCAAAGAACCGGTTTCTTAGTCTTAACGTGAACTCCCAATGGATTCCTCCATTTCAGCTTCAGGAACTTGAGATGGTTTCTGTCTTCATAGGAACCGAATATCCTCACTGGCTTCGAACTCAAAGTGAAAATAGTTGGATAAGTCTAAGAAATGCTAGCATCTCCGGTTCTCTTCCTAGTTGGTGTGCGACTACCTCTGCCAATCTTTATTACTTTGACCTTTCCGACAACTTCTTGACTGGACATGTTCCTGTATTTGATGTGAATCAGTCATTAAACTTTCAAGTTCTCAGCCTTGCTAACAATCATTTGACTGGTAACCTTCCCGAAGAGTTATGCAACTTGCAGTCTTTACGTATCATATCTCTTGCCAATAACCAGCTAACTGGAAAGATTCCTTCATGCCTTGGAAACTTAAGGCAGCTAAAAGTGTTGGATCTGGCGAATAATAGCCTTTCAGGCCAAATTCCACATACACTTGGTAACTTGGGTTGGCTTCTTGTCCTGCATTTGAATGGGAACAAGTTATTCGGCACGCTTCCTTCGTCATTGAAAAATTTGACATTATTGACCACTCTTGATCTTGGGAATAATCAGTTCAGGGACTTCATTCCTGATTGGATGGGGGAAGCATTCTTGAGTTTGCAATTTCTTAGGCTTCAATCCAACAATTTTTATGGTAATGTCTCTGTAAATCTCTGTCAATTACCTTCCCTTCAAGTGTTAAATCTAGCAGAGAACAACTTGGTTGGCTGCATCCCTCCATGTCTTGGCAACTTGAGTATGATGCTATCAAATTCCCACAGAGAATTGGTGATATCCAACGCTTATTATGCTGAATCATTTTGGAACACTATGAAAGGATTAGATTTGGAGTATTCCTCTAACCTTCAGTATGTAAAATCAATAATGCTTTCGGGAAACAACTTACATGGTGAGATCCCTGACGAGTTAATGGATCTGGAATGGTTGCAAAATTTAAACCTGTCCAGCAATAACTTAAGTGGAAGTATCCCAAAAGGATAGACAATTTAAAGCATCTGGAGTCCTTGGATTTATCCATGAACCACCTTTCTGGAAATATTCCTCAAAGTTTGGCCAGTCTAGACACCCTGAGTTACCTAAACTTGTCATTCAACCATTTCACGGGCCGTGTGCCGTCAGGGAATCATTTTGATACCTTGAATGATCCATCCATTTATGAAGGAAACAGGGGATTCTGTGGTAAGCTTGCAGGGAAGAGTTGTCCTGGTGATTCATCTGCAGCTTCTAATAAAGGAAATGATGACGATTACGATAAGTTTGAGTTCTCATGGTCTTACTCTGGTATAGGACCTGGTTTTGCTGTTGGTTTTTCAGGATTTTTCTTTGTTCTTCATCTCAAGAAGTCATGGAGATATGGTTATTTCAGGTTTCTGGAAAGTGTTTGTAACAGAGCAAGAGTTGCTTTCACTATCAAGATTTCACTGTTCCAAAGAGGGGTTAGATAGTACTTACCATGTACATATTCTTCCATTTTATCAATGCACCAAATGTACCACATTATGTGTCTTCTTCCACCTGCAACAAAAAGTAAAAAGATTTGCTTTGAAAATCACCTAATGACTGATTTACAGATCGCGACATTATGTGTATATTCTCATCCAAATTCCATGCGTATATATTTGAATTGCATCTGCAAATCTAATCGTACTGCTCCAAAGAAATGCTTATTGGGCCAAAAGTGAAAAAATATTGTGGTAAGGACCAACTTTGCTGAAGCCAATAGGCCAATGTAGATTTATCATCTTTGACAAAACTAATATGATTGGGGTCTACCAAGCATGATTAGTACTTCTCTGCTCTGCTCGAGTAACAATTCACTTTGTTATACTGTTTTAATTTAATAAGATATAATATTTTTCAAGAACAGTGGAATTAATTTAATTTATTGGGCCAAAGACCCTTTCAATCAATTCTCAGTATAGTTTCCGCGGCTGATTACTCCCTAAATCAATAGCCATGGCAGGCGTAACATTTGTATAGAAAGTATATAATGTATATAAATTCTACAAGGTATCAAGTATTTGTTGGTGCATACGTGAACAAGGTTTTTATAATTATGTTTTGGTTTTGCGTACCCTTTCACTTGTGTTCCAGACAGGTTGAGATAGGAAAATAAGAGATTATTGTTCATGAATGTAATTTGGTTCCGTCTTTTTGTAGGCTAGAAACTGTTCAGGCGGCTGCCGATATCCAAGATATATTAACTTTGGTCACTCATTCAGCAAAACCCAGTTCCCCCCCATGATTTACTTCTCTTAATTTGAAGAATCAAATTCTGCATGCTGTATGTTTTCAAGTAAATTTACAATAAAAATGGAAATTTCATCTGAATTGATTCAATCTGCTCAACTTGAGTATGATGCTGTGAAACAATTCCGGTAGAGATACTCTATTCGCTTTGGAACATGACAAAAATGAACAGACTTGGAGTATTCCTCAAATTTCAAGTATGTAAAATCCACAACGCTTTCGGAAAACAACATAGAAGGTTTCCTTATATTTTCCTTGACGAACAAATTAATGAGTTCACAACGATTCGTTGGTTATAATTTGAGTAAGAAAATTATGAGACAACTCTTTATTAATATATATACCACACTAGTTTGAGTGTTACACGAGTTGGGCATGCCCCTTTCCGAATGCAAATTCGTCAACTTAATTAGTTGTGGTGATTTAATACTAAGTCTTGAAATGAAGCTTTGTCTATGAATATGAATTGACATCTTATAAATGATCCCTCAATTTGTTCTTGCCTTCCACTGAGACTTTGAAATACCAATCCCCTCCCCCACCCCACAAAGACCCACCTCAGTCACTGTACTTATTTATTTTCATGTCCCCAGTTTTACTCACGGTACCCCATTTAAGTTTGAAAATCTGTCACATTGTATGTTCTCTCCAGTGAAGCGAAAACAACAATGAAAACATTTCCTAAGGGCCTAATCATGCTAATATTTCTTGTTTACTTAGTTTGCCCTACATTTCAATTTGTTGCCTACGCAGAAAGTACTTCCAACCATTCAATCAATGGGAGCTGCATTAACATCTAATGGAAAGCACTCATAGATATCAAAGGCAGCCTGATTGATAAAGAGAATCGGTTGTCATCATGGACAGGGCAAGACTGTTGTTCTTGGCTATGATACTCGGACTCGGGTACGCGTGTCCAACACGACACGGGATCTAAGTATCGGATTCGTAAATTTTGTAAATCTAGGATATGTGGGTATGGATTTAGACACGGATACGGATACGGAAATTTGATTTGTTATTTAGTATGATTCATAATTTTTTTCAATCTGAAATTCAAGTTTAAAGTCATCATAAAATGCATGAAGCTATGAACTACATAAATTGAAAAAGATTAAATATACTAGTTGAAGAACAGAACAAACCAAGAGCAACATAATCTGATTTTTGTAATCGGAAAGTACAAAATAGCTTGGAAAATATTGTACTTAGTGAAATTGATTGAAAAATTTTGTACAGCAAGTTGGATTAAAAAGAAAAACACATTTTACATCTTGAAATTGTTGACTAAATTTATGAAACTATAATAAAGTATTTTTATGTGGATAAACATCCACCACATAATACTATAATGAGATATTTGTTGCAGCCGTAAAGTCTAGAATGTTTGATTCTTTATCTTGATACTTGATACTTGTTGCAGTCAAACAGTTCAACTTCATACTTGATGATTTTTTGACTATCTTCTGTCTTCTCCGATCCTTTCTAATTAATCTCTACCCTTCTTGGTGGCTGCGTGCGATATTTGGGCTCTTGAATCTTGAATCGCCAAAATTAGCCTTTACACAGTCAACGCAACCAAATTTCTTTGACCGCTTCTCATCCGGATTTCATACCCGTGTCGGTGTCGACTCGTGTCGACACGGGTATTCTGCCCTGAAGGACCGAGTCCGGGTAACAGAGGTTCTTGGGATGGTATCACCTATGACAACATCACCGGCGCCGTGAAAATGCTTGATCTTAATGAGCACGACATCAACATGAGTGAATCTCTTGTTTCTTACAATTCATTGTCGGGTAAGCTGTCCGAATCCAATCTTGCAGAACTCAAAAGTTTGCAATTTTGCGCTTTTCAAAGAACAGATTTGACGAGTCATAAATTAACCCTAACCCTAATGGGTTTGGGTCGGCTATCTTGGAGGTTAATTCACCGCCTAAACCTAATATGACTAGGTTTCAGGAAACAGGTAACACCACCTTTATATAAAGAGGTGGTGCCTCTCCCATAATACATACCTTCTACCTATCTTCTACACCTTCTACATACGATACACATCCTTCTCTCTCTACTCTCTTTATTCCCTTATTGACTTAAACATCGGAGAGTCTACCCTCGGGAGACTCTCGAGGCTTTGTCTTGCATATTTTAGGCCGTTCGCCGCCGCCTAGATCATCATCGCCGCCCGTCCTAAGGTACTGTGCAGATCCATGCTTCGTCAAGTGGCACGCCCAGTGGGACCGATTTGTTTGGTCCTTATAGCCAAATAAATTTCTTAGCAAAGCACGAAATCTTTTGTATCTTTCGCACCCATGGTGTTAATTCATTGCTCTGATTTTGCAATAAGAAAATCACGCAAAAAATTATCTTTGTTTGGCCAAGAAGATGTCAGCCGACAAGTAGCACAAAGAAGCTTTCGATTTCACAAATAATCGAGGAGCTGCACTTGCTCCATAGCTGATCGAGAAGAACAATTAGCAAGGGGCAATCTTGAAGATTGAAGTTTTGAGAGATACATCTCCTCGAAGGGGCAACAATCCCTCGAGCACCATATTACTACATGAAGTGTTCAAGAAGATACATCTCCTCAAAGGGGCAAGCATCCCTCAAGCACCTTACTACTACTAGAAGTATTCGAAAAGACGTATCTCAACTTTCATCTACTCAAATAATACCTTCTCGGAATCGAGGTAACACTTTCTCGAGTAATCAATTTATCTCAAGACTGAGGTACTTCTCAAACCTTGTCATTATTATATGCTTCTCGAATATAAGTTCATACATCATAATTCTTGTTATAAGCAAATTACTTTTATCATATGAATATCTTTTTGATACATACATCATCCTATATTGCATGTCAATGAAAGACTTGCTAGTCGGGTACCGGGTTTAAATAAGACCTGCTAGTCGGGCACAACTCACAAAGACCTACTAGTCGGCACCGGGTTTAAATAAGTCCTGCTAGTTGGGCACGACCCACAAAGACCTGCTAGTCGGGCAACAGCCAAATAAGACCTACTAGATGGGCACAGCCACAAGACCTGCACGACAGGCAACTATAAGCTTCTCACCTTCAAATAAGAGAATCTAGGTGCTATCCTCCTAATTCGGCATACACAGGCTTCCCCCTTCTAATCAGGAACTCACTAATACAAAGACCTCCTTGAGGCACTTTATTCTCTTTATATTGTGTAGGTGACACCCGAGAACAAAAGAGTTCGAGAGCTGTGGCAATACCATGAAACTCGAGAAGACATCAACACTTGTAGCAACCCATATTCTTCTCATCAAGTCTCGAGAATATGACTTGCTAGGAGCACTTGACGAGTCATAAATTAACCCTAACCCTAATGGGTTTGGGTCGGCTATCTTGGAGGTTAATTCACCGCCTAAACCTAATACGACTAGGTTTCAGGAAACAGATAACACCACCTCTATATAAAGAGGTGGT